AGCGGAGTCTGAAGCTGTGCATCTGCGCGTCCGCCGGTCCCTGCAAACCTTGGCTGCTGACTGCGGAACCGGAACGGTATTTCCCGGTTAGAAATGTGATCTTTGTTTCCTTACTTGTGCACTGGAGTCTTGAGCCGACTCAAACATACGTCTTGGGGCACAGACCCCTTTAAAGTCTCAACACACCAACACTTGACAATTTTTTTCCTCTGAGACTTTTTCCCCTGTGATTTTAACTTTCTTTGGCTAAATGTGGGCCTAGAAAACTGTCCGTGTTTTCCCAGGGAGCGGATGTGATGTGTATATTTGTTTCTAAACGGCTCTCTCGCAGCAACACGCTTCTCTCTCGCTGAGGAATATGTATGGTTTAGTGGTCAATCTTGAATCCATTTCATGATCGGAAACTTTTGGAAGGGGAAACCCTTGGATACAGGCCCCGAGGCAGACTGAAAGCTGCTGTGGATGCCAGTGCACAATGTGCAGCACCTCCGGTGCTGGCTGGAAAGGAGCCTGTGTCTGCTTTCCAGGCACCGTCCCCCCTCCCAGGAGAGGCTGGCAAGTCCTGCCCTGTGACAGTTGTTGGGTAGCCCTTTGGGATGCTCTAGGAGGCTGAACTAAAAGGTTTCAGCTGTCCTGCGTATCCCAGGAGAGGTTTTTGTGTTCGTGTGGGGCGGTTTGTCGAGCCCCTCTCCCCCCTGCTTGCTACCGCAGAACGTGGGGAGAAGAGGAACCTCTGATGTATGTTTTGCAATTGGTGTGCCCTTCCTCACCATCCCTTTGCTGATACGTCTGGGAGGTTACTGGTTGTCTAAACGGCTCCTTCTGTTATTTTAAAGTAGATTTAGGTATTTTGTATGATACACTTTCCGATCAGTGGGATAGTCGAGGTCGTTGGACTCTAGGACAGGACGTAACGTTGTACAGTGGTGGTGTGTGGTGTTGTGAGGTCTCGAGTATAATCCTACATGTGGAACTGGGATCCTGTTTTGAAAGTCCAGACACAAATTTATTGGAATTTAAGTTATTCTTTGGACAGTCCTACTGCCTCAGTAACTCGCCTCATAATTGCATTTTCTTCAGGAGATGTTAACAATCTCTGTCCTCTGCTATTTCCTCCAGTCACAGATCCTGCTTCAAAATTGAAGCCGCAGTTAATTACTTGAAGTAATTTGGGATGGAATTCACCTGCACTGGTGCCAGCCCACCTAAATGGTGTGGGCACCCAGCCTGCGAAGCACAGAGGTTGGCTCTGTAGGCAAGGTGAGAGGAGCAACCTCCACAGGGTGCTCCAGCTCCGGTACCGCGGGTACCTGCCGCGGGGTGAAATCGCTGCCTCTCGGCACCACTCTGCCTGCGGCCGGTCGAGGGCTCGCGGGTGGTTCGCCTGCACTGGATGTCTAACTTTGGGGCTGATGAAGTTGGTTGAAATGAATTCATTTAGCTCCTCCCTAGCTGCACTGGAAAGACTTTGATGTAAAATGTTTCTGTATTCCAGACATAATGCTTTTTTTAATGCAAAAGAGCAGGGCTTTAAAAAGATTTCTAACTTGAAACCAACGATCCTGCTGGTCTGTGGTTGTGAATCCTTTGCACTTGTGTTTTAAATTAAAGTAGATCTTGGTTTATTCATAAGCCTGTTGCGGCGCTGCGATGCTTCGTCTGTCGCTCAGATGCAAGGGAAGCGTAAACCTTGAGCCCGGTCTACTCGGTCTGCGTTACCTGTTCTGTGTGGCTTTTGAAACGAGTGGAGATCGTAGCGGGATCCTGGATCCTGAAACGGATGTTTCTGGGGGACAGGGGCGGCCGGTTGAAGACTTGACACAGTTTTATGGTTTGGCCCAGGTCTGACTAAACACAGCGAAGGGAAGGCCCCTGAAAGACTGCAGTCAAGTACCTTATACAAGTGTAAAACCTCGTTCCCCTGTTGGTGAAGAGCACAGCCTTCCAGCCTTCCTGTCCAGCGTGGAATTAGGTGTCTGATCCTTGTGTTTCTCTCTTTTACAGTTCGTGCATGGCATATCAGCAGTTAACTGCCCCGTTATTAGATGAGTGTGGAGTCAAGTATAAATCCTCAGATAAACTTAGATCAGGCAGAAGATTGAAGCTTCTCTGGGGCTAACAACTCCTTCCACGAGAACCAGGCAACCGGTCAGGAGAATCACGATAAGCAGAGGTTTGTGATTTGCACGGAAATTGTGTTCAGGAGTGAGATTTCTTGTCTGCTCAGAGATGTCTAAGGATACAACCAAACGTAGCCTCTTCTCTGACGAGCTCACAGCCTGCTCGGTGGGTAATTATGCTTCGAGGTGTTTTCTCTGCGTGTCTTCTCGTGCGTGCTTTCAACGAGGTTACCCTTCCGTCTCGGGGGTTTCTGTTGTTGTGTGTCATGTTTCACCTGAATCATTCCCTTTCATTTTTCCTCCCTGTCATCCTTGCTGGCGCCGAGTCGTTTCCGTGCCGGCACAGCCCTGGCAATCAGCACAGCGAGCCCTTTGAAGATGGCAGCCTGAGTCTGTGTGAACAATTTGCTGCATCAAACGGGGCGTCTGAGGCTGCTGTCATCTCCCGAGTGCACGGGTTTGTGCAGAACGGTGCCCGTCCCCCTCAGACGGGGCTCTGCGCTAGCGCACGCAGCGGCTTCTTAATGGTCTCAAGCTGTGCCAGGGGAGGTTTAGACTGGATGTAAGGAAGAAGTTCTTCACCGAGAGGGTTATCACACACTGGAACAGGCTGCCCAGGGAGGTGGTGGAGTCACCATCCCTGGATGTGTTTCAGAGACGGGTGGATGAGGTGCTGAGAGATATGGTTTAGTGGTGGACAGATCCGGTTGGACTGGATGATCTCTAAGGTCTTTTCCAACCCAGTGATTCTATGATTCTTACCCCGTGTGTTTCGGATCGGGACAGAGGGTTCTCGGGAGACCCTTCCCCCATGACCAGTGACTGCAGAAGGACCCTGCCTCAAACAGGGTTCCTGACTGCTACAGTGGTTCAGTCTGGCGAGAAGAATCCGACGCTGCAGCCTGGAGAAAGCGTTTGGCTGTGCCTTAGGCCCTAGTCTATCCATGGGGGTGGTAAGTCGGGAATCTTGCCTGCGTGGGGCAGGGAGAGCGACGGTCGCTGCTGTGCAGCACCTCCTGCCGTAGCAGCAGCGTCAGCACCGTGTCTTTACGGTGCAGGCAGCCGGTTTTGGGCCGTTCGGTACAAACTCAGCCTGGACTGTGGCTCTCGACTGGGAACTGTAGGAGTATCCCGAGCAGCTTGTGGTGCGCAGGGTGGCTGCTAAACATTGGGAGGCAAAGCTTCCTGTAACTGCAGGAACAGGAGCGGAGCTGGGGGCAGCTGGGGCATCCTGGTTGTGCAGAGGGGAAGGAGCTGCGTTACTGGTGCTGACAGGGGAGGAGGGGATGGCCGGACGGTTGCACACTGGCGCTCGGGGGCTCGGGACCTGGCTGTGTCGGTCGGTGAGCAGTGGTATGTTTGTTTCATTTTAATTATTCTTAGTAGTATTGTTAATATTATTAGTATCACTATAGTATTTATATTCAATTGTTAAATAGTTCTTAGGAGCTTCCTTGTCTTCCCCTCTGATTCTCTCTGCCGGAGTGGGGGGAGGTGAGTGAGCGGCTGCTGGTACTTCACCGCCAGCCGAGGTCAGACCGGGGTGGGAACCAGCCGGCAGTGCCAGGCCCGTGTGGCCATCCTGGCCTGGCTGACGGGTCCTTGCTGTCGCTGGGCTCAGCCGAGCAGGAACCTCCCAGGAGAGTTTTGCCTCCTGCTGGGACATTCCTGGCCTGTGCTTGGGGGAGGCAGCGGCGCAGGGTGTAGGGGATCGGTTTGGCTGTTACGCACGGTAAGGCGTGGAGGGAAGCGCACGAGGGAAGGATGTTCCGTCTGACGAAATAACCCGGCTGCGTATTAAATTCCCAGGGAGTTGCCCTTGAGCCCTGCCAGCGCAGACGGCAGAAAGCTCCGGGCGCTTGCCGTCTCCGGCAGCAGTGCATGCACTGGGTGACGCCTGGGATGCTGCAATTAAAGGTGACACTTTTTTTTTAACAAAGGCAATGTTTTATTTTGGTTTTTTAGAAAATAAATAAGTCAGAAATGTCCAACACACCATTCCAGCGTTCTGGTAATGCCACAGGGAGGGTCGGGCTCTTCCCAGAGTCAGGCCGGGCTGGAGCGTCTCGTCTCACACCTACTAGAGCTGTGTTGGTGCCCGTTCTGTAGCAGCACTTACCGACGCAGTTCCCAGGTGGGACTGTTCTCCCGCCGCAGGTCGCCGGCTCGCCGTGACTGAGCTCTTTTCCAGAACAGAGGAACCTGCAGAACGAGCTGCGGGGTGAGTGGGGACGTTACTGGGCGACGCTGCAGCGTGGCACTTTTCGATTTTGGGGAGAGCTGCTCCAGTCAGGAACAGATCGCTTTAGCACGGTCTCAAGTCGAGGGCAAAGACTTCACTAACGAGAGGCGGGATGGAAGAAGCTCCTTTTCCAGGCCATGGTCTCGCCTGTTTCTCCTCCTGCGCGGGTCAAGGAGTGACAGAGGTTTTCGGCAGCACGAGGTGCTCCCAGCTGCTGTTGCCAAGGCTGGCAGGAGGCATAGATCTGCTCAGTTTGGGGTTCCTCCCAGTTCTCCTCAGCAGCATTGAGGGGTTTGTTGTGGTCTGCTGCTTCTTTGAACAATGTGGAAGATTTGGCCCCAGTATCTCACCTCAGGTAAGTGTTCCTAACACAGTAGTTGCAGTTCATTTTATATCCTTAAGTGTTTCCTCCTCCGACCCCTTTAATTAAGCCTCGCTCTTTACAGATCTGGGACTGGAGAAGGCTAACTCTTTTTGGGGGGTGGGAGGGGTGGCAGGTGGGCCCCTCCTCCTTTGGTGACCCCAAGTGCCTGATTTCACAGGGTCCCTGTGACCTGGCGCAAGCAGCTCTGGTTCTTGGGCTGCGGTTACTTTGGGATGCGATGAGGGGAAGGCCAGGAGAGAGTGAGGGAGGCGTCTCAGAAGATGCTCTCTTCCATCTCCACCTCTGTTGCAGCTCCTGGGGGCTCAGGCCCGGCTATTGTAAGGCTTGACACCCCTGCCACTGGGATCTCCTTGTCTTCCAGTTGTTCCCTCGAGCCTTGTTGTCCCTCAGGAACCCTGCAAACTGCTTCCTTTGGCGTCTCCGGCTCTCCAGGAAAGCCAGCTGTTGCGTAGCTCCTCACCAACTCCTGCACCTCCACGCTCAGACATCTCAGCTTCTCCTCGTACTCGGCCAGTGCCTCCTGCTGGAGCTGCAGACAGAGACCCCCATCACCCTCCACACGCTGCAGGTAGGCAGGTGTCGGGCGAGGGGGGTGCAGACACCCCCTCTGGGTCAGGGAGACCGCTATGATGAGGTGTAGCACGTGAGATTTTGGTCTCAGAGCTGCTTTGACTTAGTCCCCACCCCCCAGGCAGTCTGTGCCTTCCCTGAGGGTGGAAGGGGGAGCAGTGCTGGGTGATGCTTTAGACTGGTACCAGTCAGAGGCGAGACCGTGTGCTCGCTGCACATCAAGCTCTGAAGAATGTGAGCGCGTGCTCAGAGAGGTCAAGGCGCCCCAGGCTGAGCCTCCTCTCCTCCGGAGCTGCGTTCCCATCGCACCAGCGCTGCCCCACGTAGGAGCACAGCCCCTCCGACTTGCATCGGCGTAGGCTCCCGCAGAGCCACCTGCTCAGTCACGCGTTTTCGCTGCGTACCGGGACGTGGGTGGTGAAGTGGGGGGGTGGTAGCGCTCGTTAAAGAATGCGCCAAGACCCGTCATGTCTGATTTACTGTGCTGTGACAGCATCGACCCTGAGTATCACCTTCGCCTTTACCTGAGCTTCCTTCTCCATGATGGTCCTCAGACTGTCTGCCTGCTGCTCTTCCAGCTTCTGCTGCCACCTGGCTGTCTTCTCTGTCACCTGCAGAAAGAAGAGATTTAAACGCTGCTCGGTTTCCCGTACAACCCAGTGCTTCAGCTGCCACGAGCCTGGAGCAGCGAGAGGCAGGGTGCTCGAGCACGTGGCACCGTGTGCCCCCGAGAGAGTTGACAGTGGGATCCGTAGGGTCTCCCCCCCTTCTGCAAAACCTGGCAGGTCAGCAGAGGTTGGTCACGCTGTCAGGGGTTGAGTAGGACATGCAAAGGGGCCTGGAGTGCTGTCTGCACTGCGCTCTGACCCGGGGCAGGACCCCCTACACCCTCAGGGCCTGCGGTGTTTCGGCGAGGGGAGCAGCCGCCCTCCGCCGCGTGTTGGCTGCCTGAGGTACGTGCTCAGTCCTGGAAGCGGCAGCAATTCACAGGGACACGAACGCTCCGAGGACGCGCAGCCCGCCTACGAGACCCCCCCCGGGCCAACAGCAGAGCCAGGGACAGGCTGTCCCTGCAGAACATACCAGTTTGATGGTTTGCACCACTTCCTGGATGTGCGAGTTATTGATTTCGTTCTTCAACCTGGAACGAAAGGAGAGGTACCAAAACCTGATCCCGTGCCGCAGGGCAAGGCAGGGCTGCTCTGTCCTCCCACAGCCGGAGCGTGCAGGAATGTCAGGAAGGGCAAGCAAACCCCCCATCTAAGGTGACAGTGTAACAGGATGCACAATTCTCTTTCAGCTTAACGGGCTGCAAACAGGCCTTGCTGGAAGGAAGGAGGCAGCGTGCCCTCCTCTGCTCCCTCCACGTGGGGAGCTGCCACAAGGGATTCCTATCAGGCAGCGCTGAGTGCCACAGCTGCAGGAATCTTTTGAGCACAGGGAGCAGAAGGAAGGCTCCCGGCCAGAGCCGGGCACAGGCCATGGCAAGAGTCACCTTCCAGGTACAGTTTCTCCATCTACTTCCCAGGTGAGCTCCGACTCCCCGTGGGGCGCAGGGGTATCCCAAGGCTCCAGCAGCTGCGATTGCCGGGAAGACGTTACGGCTGTGGCGAGGGAGCTAATGTGTGGGAATGCGGGGGAGCAGGAGCCCTGCACTGTGTCCCCCACCCGCTTTACGTGTCCCTGAGGGTGACAGAGCCGGGTGCGGCGGTTCCTGGAGCGGGACACGGAGCATCCTGTGTGCGGCTTTTTTGGGACACGGAGTGTCCTGTGTGCGGCCCCAGCACGTCGGCCCCGTACCGCTGGTGGGCAGCCTTGTCGCTGGTGCTCCTCAGCATGGCCTGGATGCGGTCCAGGCGCTTGGCCTCCAGCTTCCTCTTGATGTCTCTGACAGCGCTGCGGGGAGCAGAGCGTGAGGGAGGGGCTGCTGGCAGCCAGGGCCCAGCCCTAACCCCAACCCCCCTTGGTCCAGAAGGCCAAGTGGGAGAGATGGGGCAGCAGGAAGTTGGAGCTGGGCTCTTGGCTGCTTCCCCTTTCCCCTCCATCCCGGCACTGCTGGGGGGAAAAAGCAGGGGGGGAAGGGGGCTCACTTTTCAGCGGACTCCTTCAGCCTGCGCAGCTCCACTGTCTGCTGCTCCCGGGCCAGCTCCGCCATCCTGGCCACCTGCTGTGGGGGAGGGAAACACCCTCAGCCCAACCACGGGGGGACATGACCCCCACCCAACCACCCCCTGGTAACCCCCAGACCCCGCTGCTGGGCTTTGTGCCCTCTGCCACAGCCCAGAGCTGGAGGTTTGCGACCCCGACTCCTCTCTCCGGGGATCACGCCCTCAAGGCCAGGCTGCCCCTGCACCCATGCTTCCCCTCCCGTGGCAGCGCCCAGCGTGGGGTGCCAGGCTGTGCTGGTCCTCACCTCCGTGGCGTGCTGCTCCTTCTTCCTCCGGATCCCATCGTAGTGTTCCTCCCCCAGGTGCATGAGGGCTGTCTCCAGCCTCTCCCTCAGCTCTGCAGCTCGGCTGTCCATGCCTCCTGCCCTTTCTGTGGGATTTGGGCATGTCCTGACGTCCCCCATGGCCGAAGTCCTGCGGGGCAGACACAGCAGCTGCAGAGATGCTGGAACAGTGCCCACCCTCCTACCCACCCCCTCAGGAGGCAGCGTCCCACACTCCCGAAGCCCAGGGAGATGCGGACGCCCGCACCATCCCTCTTCCCCGTGGGGATCCCCCTGCTTTGGTCTGGCGACTCGCACGTTTACCTCTTCTGGGTTTTCCTGCTGCATTTCATCCCTTTCTTGCCTCCGTAGCAGACGGGCTCCAGAAAGAGCCCGGAGTATTTCCGCAGCAGATCCTCCCGCCGCTTACTTCCCTTCCGCTCCAGCTCCCGCAGTTCCTTCTCCTGCTTCTTCAGCAGCTTCAGGAAGAGCTTCGTCTGCTGCAGTTCTGCGAGGCTGGCCGTCTGCGGCTCTGCAATCCCAGGGAGGAGAAGCTGCTACCTGCTTCCTGGGGCCGGACAATTCCAGCCCGGCCTTCACCCACCTTTTCCTCCTTCTTTCAGCTTAGTTGGCAACACGCCCCGCGTGCAACAGGTCCCCATGCCCAGAGCTGCGCTGGCTGCAACAGGCAGGGTTCACGTGCCAACGGGGCTTCAGCCCCGGCCCAGTCAGAATTTGGGTCGAGAGGGGATGGAAGAGGAGGGAGAGGGCCTCAGCCCGCGCGAGCGGAGCTACCTGCCATCTGCGCCGCTGCGATCACGCTTTCGTCCTTGGCGAACGCCGCCGCCCCTGAAATCACAACCAGGTTCCGGGTTACGTTGGGCCCTGAATTTGCGGTCTGAAAGCAGACGGCAGAGAGCTCAGCAAGAACACGGGTTGCAGGAAGGACCCCGGTGCCGAAACAAAGACGCTCAAGCGCTTGGGAACTCCCGGAACGAGTACAGCAGCAAGGGAACAGGCCTTGCCACAGACAAAGGGCTTTGTGCTGGCTGACACGGCGGGGGACGGTTTGCTTAGGGGAGAGGGATGGCACGTTCTTTGAGCAAAGCGATTGTTCCAATCCTGACAGATCTGAAGGAGCACGAACAGCTGCCCATCGCTACAGGAGCGGAGCAGAAGGACACGCTCCAAGCAGGCAGTAGGGAACACGTTCCTCCCCGACCTGCGAATACTGTGAGTCTGGGTTGGAAGCGTGTTTGAGGAAGATTCCTCCTGGCCCCTTCACCAACCTCATCAACAGTAATCTACTGCAAGAGACCCCTGAAGAGAACAACAAAGGGGTGAAGAGCAGGGAGGTATTTCGGGATAAAACCCAGCCAGATCAAAACCTTTGTCCCAGCAACACCCAGAATTACCAGGTCTTTGCTCACAATCGATGCCCAACCTCCCGTTTCCCACTCAGGATGAAAAGCTACGTATCTACCGCATTTTCCTTGGGTATTCAACCCCTCTTAATGTAGTTACCTCCCCGGGAACGCTGTGCCCAACCTGGAAAACCCAGTTCTCTCTCTGAGCCCTCAGCATCTGCCGGGGGGTGTGTGTGTGCCTATAAGGAAGCTGGGTGTGACTTTTTACAGGGGCCTGTAGTGACAGGACAAGGGGTAACAGGGTTAAATTGAAAGTGGGGAGGTTTAGATTAGATATCAGGAAGAAGTTCTTCCTGGAGAGGGTGGGAGCACTGGGACAGGTTCCCAGAGAAGCTGTGGATGCCCCATCCCTGGGAGTGTCCAAGGCCAGGCTGGATGAGGCTTGGAGCCCCCTGGGCTATGGAAGGTGTCCCTGCCCATGGCAGGGGGTTAGAACCAGATGGGCTTTAAGGTTCCTTCCAACCCAAACCACTCCATGATTCTATGACTTGTGCCGTTAATGACAAGCACCAGAACTGAAGTTGGTGACTTGGCTGGAGAGTGCTGACCCTGCTACCCCCTCCAGCCCTGTCTCCTTCCAGCCTCTGGAGCATCCCTTCCACCCTTAGCTTGCCCCACGTCCGCAGCCTTACCTGCAGGCCCATTACAAAGAGGAGAGCTGAACCTCCCCGCGGAGCCTGGCATCCCGTTCGTTTCAGCTGACGGGAAGTTCCGCTGTGTGCCGAGCCTCTAAACCAAAGAGCAGAGGTAAATCAAAGCTCTAGTATTTCAGGCTGAATCCATGCAACGTGGTTTAGGGACAGGATGTGGAAACACCTACCTCCACAGAGCCATCTTTCAGCTTAACTGATTTCTTGTCTTGCAGACTGAAGAACTTAATGGGGTTGGAGAGAGCAATAGTCAGATCTAGAAACAAAGAGGAGGTCTTTGCTCGGATCACCAAACAACTCGCTGCACTCCGGCTTTCCCTGCCTCCCGCTCTCCCTTCTGGCCTAGCACAGGGAAGTGTGGAGAAGGGCTGTTTTGCATTCTCTGCTTGCCCTGAGCACAGAGGGAGGGCACAGTCTTTGTCTCAGGCCCTTTCTGAGGTGACTCCTCACAGCTGATGTTGAGGGCAGCTCTGTGAGCTGGAAGGAGCACAACTGCTCCCAAAATCCAGGGCCAGGTTAAGGCTTCCCTACCCCACACAGCTCCCTGCTCCGACTCCAGTCCAGTGCTGCATAAACCTGGTGCTTTTTAGGAATGTGTTAAACCCATCAGTTTCACAGGATTTCCCCCAAAGGCACATTTGTCCAAACGCAGGGGAAGAGAGTGCAAACACCACTCTTCCTGATCCACCTCCCACTGTCCGACCATCCCCTTCTTAAGGGGAGATCGCTGTACCCCGGTACCAGCAAGAGCCTCCCTCTCTTCAGACAGGGCCGGACACCACTCCGGTGCTCCCTAAATCCCTACTGCTGTCAGTTCCCGAGGGCCGTCACCTCTGCACCCTGGGAAACCTCTCCCCGGCACAGAACTAAACCGACCCGTTCCAGGCCAGAGCGACGGCGTCACGCCTGCACGGCGCGTCGGGTACGTGCGCAGCGGCCACGCTGGGAACCAGCACGAGCACCTGCTCGCTTCTGACGGCCCAACAGGATGCTGGCAGGCGCTCAAAGTCCCGCCCTTCCAAGGAATCAAGGGTGCAGCAGGAAAGCACCAAGCTGGAAAAATGCTTCTGGAGTGCGGTTTGGACAAAGCCAGCCCCCCCTCCCCTCCCCAACGCACTACCTGCCCAAGCGTCGGGAACGTAGTCCTTGATTTCCAGGTACACGAAGAGGGAAGGCATGGTGAGCGGCATGTTACTCTCGCTGCGGAGACAAACGTGGTGATAGCCTGCGGGCAGAAAGCAGGAGAGGGGAGCTCGCAAGGCCTCCTCTGCCCTCTCCAACAGCAAAACGACGTCTCTCCTCACAGGAGGCCACAGCAAGCATTAGGGAACCAACCAAGGCTGTAACAGGCTCCCCTGCCTACAGGAACGGAGATTAAGGAGCAAAATACGCAGATGCTCGTGTCTTTTTTACAGCTTCCAGTGGCTAGGGCTCAAGGGCAACAAAAGCTGAGGGAAATTCCACAACACTCACCCGAGTGCACTGCGATAATGGGAATGACACGATGACCAATGAACTTCCCTCCTTCCTCCCAGGCCACGATTTTGAGAGATGCCAGCTCAGGCATCACGATCTAAGGAAAAACAGAGTGAAGCACCAATGTCCAGACCTCTAACACCATTCTGGTTTTGCTAAGTAGAGCTTTACTCTCTCCTCCTTCCCGCAGGACGATGACATCTCTCCAAGGAAGTCACCATCTATCAGCACCTTGTAATTTCTAGCTAGAGCTTGTCACAGATGTGACTAAATTCAGAGAACCTCCACAGAACACTGGCTTCTCAGAGGAGAGACTGCACAGGATCCAGGAGGGCAGTTCAGATGAAGAAAGAACAGGGCAACAAGCCCTCCAAACCACCGCTTCCATGAAGCGGTTCACCGGGGAAGGATCGTTTAGTGAGCACGGAAACTTTGCCATCAGGGCTCTCGCCTCCCTCCTCCCCCATTTCCTTCTGCCATGGAGCAAACTGAAAATTATTCTGCCAGAACTGAAGCCTGAGAAGCTAACTGAGGGCAATATTTATCTCCCACATCCCAAGTAGGCTGAAAATCCCTGCTCCTTAGTGTGCTGACACGTGTAACACACGATTTGCCTTTGTCGCTGCCTGCAGAACATCACTCTCCCCTCTGACTCGGCCTCCCCACACCCTGGAGCTGGACTGGTGACCACTGAATTCCTGTGGACAAACAAGCTTTCCGCATTCTGGCACAACCGACCGCCTTTTTCCAGTGCTCCTGCTCCTCATTCACACTTTAACCACAGGCAGTCGGTTCCGTCCTGCTTCCCGGCGCTCGCAGCTGTCAAAGCCCGTTACTCAGCTCAGACTGAAACGCATCAAACGGGAAGACTCGATGCCTGCTGTTCCCAGAAATGCTCCCAGCTACCCGCTGGCCATACAGGGAAACGCTGATGGAGAGCTGCTCTGGACACTTGTTGCTCTCTCAGAGTATCCAACAGCTCCTGCGTGGCCGAGGCCACGACCGAGATCTCCGGGGGGTCCCTTCTGCAGTCACTGGCCACCCAAGGGGCGGCACTTGTGACCAACAGGATCTTTTGGGATTCTCTGTCCAAATTACTCTCATGCAACAGTTACCTTTTCAAAGACAAAAGCCTCCTCCTTCCACACAGGGTTAATGGAATTGGCAGTGGAGGTCAGTTTGGTTCTGTATTTGCGTTTCGTGTCCCTTGGCAACCCGAACAGCTCCACTTCCACATAGGTCTTCACACTGCGGTCCGAGAGGAACTGACCGGAGAGGATCTACAAACCAGCAGAGAGAGAATTAGCAGCTGCAGAAAAGAATAAAACATTAGAACTCACCCATACCTTCACCCAAAGTCACTCTCCCGCCCCAAAACATCTTTCCTGCTGCTGCTCCCAGTCCCCAAGGGGCTTTTAACTCCACCCGTTTCCTGCTTCAGCACCTCCTCCAGCTTCCTCCCTCCCTCCCCATCGTCACAACCTCGGCTTCTTCTGTGTTGCAGATGCTAATTTTCCATTTTCACATGATTATGATTAATTTAAAACAGTGAGAAGACTGGGAGTTGCCACGGTAACGCTCTCCCACAGGACTCTCTGGCTTTGTTGGCCCTGAAGAACCCCACAGGGTAATAAATAGCAGGGACACCGATGCCAGTTAGGTACCAGACCTGGCTGGGGGGGCACAGTGCCGTGGTTTGTACTTGCCGTGACAGACAGGGTACTGGCCACCACCACGTCAATGCGGTCCACAGAGAAGGGGTCAAACTGCTTGTCCGGACGCCGCATGAACTCGTGCTTGAGCAGGTAGCCACACTGGCCGTTGAACTCGAAGAGAGCCATGTTCTGCTGCATGGGGACATCTGCAGGGAACACAAGGAGAACTTCCCTGGGACCTCGTCAGGTGGGCTGTGTGCGAGCAGGAGGATGCTGTGCTTTCACAGCCCTGCCAGCCAAAGGCTCCCAGAGCTGTTTCAGAAAATTATTAAGCCTCTCGGCTCCCTACAGGGAAAAATATTACAGCAGCTGTTGTGAGAAGGGTAAGTGGTTTGCTTACGCCTGCACCGTAACTCATGGGTGGGACTGCATTAAAACTGACTTTAACAAGTACCCGCTGGTTTTGGGTGTGAAGTAGCCATCTGCACCCCTCTACTCCTTTCCCTTTTCACTTTGGACCCCCTCTTGGTCCATCTTCTCCCCCACCACCCCTCCTGAGGCACCGTCTGCAGTACAATACCCACTTCGTAACCCATCCCTCGCCCTTTTAGAGTTGCTCATTTTGTTCTCCTGCTCCCACAAGCAGCCTCCTACACCCTCCATACATAAAGCACAGAGGGAGGAAGAGGGGTAAAGAATCACTTTCTCTGGAGGCTTTTCCTTGTCTCCTTCCCATGCCGGGTGTGCGGCAAAGGCCCCTCTTCCCTGACGTTAACAGCACAGACTGGCCAGTCCTGCAGCCAGCTGGAGCTCTGCCGGCTGCCTCGGGGAAGCGGGAGCTCCCGGTGCATTCACACACGGCTCAGCCTGCCAGCACGCGGCTGGACAGGCACCGCACGACAGCGAGTCCACGCGTGCGCGTGCACACAGGTGTGCAGGACCCGTGTCCTGCTCACCGGGTTTCTGGTGGGCCTAGGAAAGCGCTTTTGGTCTGCGGGAGTCACAGAGCACCCCCACCCTGGGTGAAGGCACAGGGAATAAACGCCTTCAAGGAAACGGCAGCTGAAGGACGCAGGGAAGGAGGAGCATGGAGGGGATCACGCAGCCTCCGCCGCTCAAGCTGGAGGCCAACGTGACACTCACCCATGGTCTGGAAATTGAGTGCCACCATCTGACAGCCGACATTCCAGAACATCTGGGGCATGTAGTTCGAGGAGTCCATCCGGGTGCCCTTGGGGTAAATCCGGCTCATCTGGCGCTTGTTGTATCTACAGTTGCTCTATTGGAAAGACGTCGGGAGCGCTCCTTATGTACCCCGGGGCTAGCACATGCAGTCGCATTATGAAAACTGTTTAAGCTCTGCTACCAAGTGCTCGGAGCCTTCCGGACACGGAGAGAGGCTCTGCCAGCAACAGGCTCCCTTCCCATCCCCTTTCCACTGGAGGACAAGCACCTGGCAGCCTTAGGATTCGCTACAGCGGGATGCATCCTGCCCAGAACCGCTGTGACCAGCCTTGCAGGATGCTGTCTCTCACCTGCCCACTTCACATCTCCGATAAAGAGTTTACCAGATCCTGAAACCAGAGGCTGGTTGGATATGCCTCCGCCCCCCCCAAGCTTCAAACTGGCTCTCACGCTCCAAACAACCGGCTACACCGGGCAAAGGCTGCCAAAAGGATACTCCACGAACTGCATGGGGAACTTGGTCAGTAGATCATAAGCCTTCAGCTCCGTGAAGGAAGAGATGACGTAACTCCGGTTCTTCTCTAGAAACGGAAGATAAAGCATTTAGAGGAAAGGCACGCCCAGCCCCCAGTCTGCGCGCGGGGACTGATGTGCCTGACCCGTTCATTCCCACCGTCTCCCAGGAACCGTCCTCTGCCGAGGCAGTTCACCTTCCTCTGGTCGCCTGAAAAGGGACCGAAGACCGATAAAGCCACACAAGGTGACGCACGTTCACCAGGGGACAGTGGCTGAGCACTCCCGGACAGGAGCTCTGTGGGGCACAGACAGGACCAGCTCCCAAAGCTCAAACGGCATCAATCTGGCCCATCTCTCCCTGGATCTCAGACATTTAGGGAACAGCTCCTGTCTGGAGTTTTAGTTCTCAAGTAAATCCAAATAAACCAATTCCTGCACAAAGTGGTTCGTTTTGTCAAGTTTCCCCTTCTTCATCCCCCTACTGTTTTCTTTTTCTTTGCTTTCTTTCATCAATCAAACCAGCTCACTCAAACCTAGACCCGAATGTGGGAACTGCTCAGGGGACCCTCCTGTGTGCAACGGCATGGCGTGTTTTCCGTGTTCCTCGTGCCCCTCTGCCCAGCCGCCACCGACGAGGAAGAGGAAGGCCGGTGACATACACTCAAAGCTGGCCTCAACCCTGCCTGTGGAAGCAGCAAGGCAAGCCCAGGCCTCAGCCACTGCTCGTTCCATCCTCGCTCGTGTAACAGGGAGCGGACACCTCCCCGTCTTCTCCTTACCAATCCCTTACTACAGGGAGGAGGGCAGAAGGGAGGTGTTTGCCACTCCGCGCGTGTCACAACAGCAAGCGCATCCCGAGGGCAGGTGGTGAGCAGCATCCGAAAGCGCTGCGCTCCTTGGTGTCCTGAAGGGCCGGAGCCTGACTTACGGGCAGAGACTTCAAAGGAGTCGAATTTGATGGGCTGGATGTAGTTAACGAGGCTGGACATTTCCTCGTACGCCGTCACCTCCAAACCAGCAGTGCCCTGAGTGCAAAACCCAAGAGAAGACGGGTGAAGGGAAGCAAAAGGCACCTGGGATTCACAAAACTGCGGCTGCCCCGGCCTAAGCACACATTTCTTTGGCTTCCTGGTCCGACAACTGCACCGTGGGGAGCGCAGTTGGGGGCAGGGAGCTCCTAGGCAGCTTGGCAAAAAGGGGAAGCGAGGCATACGCAGAGGCAGCAGTCAGTACAGAGGCAGCGTGGACCTCTTTAACCTCTCAAAACGCAGAGTCTGAGACAAACTGGGGATGTTTTCCCTCCTGAGTGATGCTACAGAGACAGAAACTGAAAGGGTTTTTGATTCAGGGGAATGTCGATGTCCTCGTTCCCCTTCAGCAGCAGCACGTCACGTTTTGGGAACAACCTTCACCAGACTGAGGCTAAGCCTCTCCAGACACCCTGAAGGCAGACAGCGCTCTCTCCAAACCACGCCGAGTCAGAAATAGCCCTTCTGCCATGTTCTCTACGCTTGCAACATCATTCCCCTTCCTCAGTTTTTCCTGCCAAGTCGTGTAGCGTGGGGGAAGGAAAGCCCCGTTCAGTCAGGGCACAGTTCACTCTTCGCGTTTCGGGTTCGTCATGGCGAGGCCCCGGAGAAAAGTGGGGGCCAGAAAAGGAACAGAAACGACAGTGACAGTACCTCGTCTGACTGCATCTTCTTAATTTCCTCTTCATCCAGGTTTCCGAGATGTTCATCCTCTTCCTCTGGTTCCTCTTCAGCCACGTCACCTGCCCAGACTGAGCACACACAGCCCGCATCAGCAGTGGGTATCAGCGGCACACGGACAGGTCCTGGCACCCTGCTACCAGCAGAGAGCTCTGCAAAACCTCGCAGTCACGTCGTGCAGGAGCGAGAACCGCTTTATTAGCCAAATCCAAGTACAAATTAGCACACTCAGAGCAAATCACTCCTCCTGCAGGCTACCCCAGGAGCGGCAATCACACGCCGGTTCCCCCACAAGGTCACCCACACTCGTGGGAACAAGTGTCCTTTCCTAGGTGCCCTGGAGTGGTGCTGCCCACGTCCTCCTGCGACTTCACCTGCTCCTACCATGACAGGGACTGAAGATTCACTGCTCTACCACAGCGCCCAAGAGCTGTCGGCCTTGAGACTGAAGGGGAGTGGGGCTGAAGGTTCTACCAACCTCAGGGAAGAGACGGGCCATGGTGAATTTGTGGGTCTCGGGGAGCTACGAGCAGTGAGAAATGATCCACCCTTCCACCAAACCCGTAGCCAGCGTGTCAGTGAGTTACCAGCTCCAGCAGTCTCACACCCCCGAGCAGGCAGAAGAGCTGGCTGCTGGGCAGGGTGTAAGTTGTCTCTTCCGGTTGGAATAAAGTGTTTGAAAATATTCTGGAGATTTAATTTTGCAGCTTAAGCTGCTTCTTGAGACAAATGAATTAGTGACTGGTGGTGGCTGCCTCAAGCTAGCACTGGGCAGTTTGGATGGGCCAGACCTGCTCATCCAGCCAAATGAGTCCCATTTTCCCTTCAGACATACCAGTATCTTCAGCATCCATTGGCACTGGCTGCTCCATGACTTCCGGTTCCACATTCTTCCCTTTCTTCAAAGAGTTCTGCCTCTTCCCAGACACAGCCGGTTTCTTTTTGTTCTTAATCAAGATTTTCCCTAGGAGGTCCTTGGGGCTTGGCAGAGGGACTCCGGGCTTCAGCTGCAACAGACCAACTTCAGGCTGAACTTTCATCAAACACACCCATCTCTCCCGTCCCTCCCAGCACCACCCCTCTGGACATCTACTGGTGCACAGACACATCTCTCACCCGCTCTATGCTTCCATTTCTCCATCTGCCAGCATACCCCACTGTATCTATGGGATTTTTTCCTTCCCCCTAAGACTTCACCTTCAGTTTCAGACCAGCATTTTGCAGCCCTCAGCCCTCTCACGTCCCGCCGCCTGCACACGTCGTGCCGTTCCCAGCCACCGTCCTGCACCACAGCTGAGAAAGCAGCTACACTTCCTGACACCATCCACACCCCTCTGGCTTTCACATTCCATCTGCTTCTCCCATTATCCCAGAGCCGCAGTCCTAGATCAACACTCTGCCTGCAGCAGATTGGAAAAGAAGATCCCAGAGGAGGCAGCTCAAGACAAGGACGTGGCTCAGACTGAGCTTCTCGACCCGCACTCCCTGCAGACAGCAACAGGCCTCTTCACCACTGAGCTAATTCCCTGAGCTCTTTCTCCTCACACACCCCCCCGGTTCCCCCCGTTGCCTGGACAGTGGGCAACTGCCCATGTGCCCACCGCTTCTTTTCACCGCTCTTTGGATCTCAGTGCTTGAAAACAGATGCTTGGGTAGGTGTCTCAGCTCCCCCCTGCACCGTTTATCCAACGGAACCGCCTCACGCTTGGCACAACGCCGGCACTGCCCGTTCCCCGTGTCCATTCGCGAGGCCGCTGAAGCAGCGGCGTGCATGGCCATCACCAGCCGTCACTGCGGCCGCAACACCACGAGCTCGGACAGGCAAGCTCATGTCTCGGGTCGAGCAGATCGGGAGCTTTGCCCGGCTACTCGGAACACAGCGCTGTGCTTGTTCCTGACCTGCCCATCCGTGCCTGGAAGGGACCGTTGCCAGGCTGGTAACGGGAATTGAGAAGCATTGGTAGGAAGACCCCGAGCTGCTACCACACCCTCGTTCCTGTTTCTCTCCAAAGCAAGCGCTGGCAGATTTGAAACAGAACCACATACAAAAATACACTGACTCATCCCGGGAGGACACGGGTGCCTAGAGCTCAGCTTCCAAAGCCACTCAAGTTGCAGTGTGTTAAGAGCAGAGTCAGGCAAGTGATTCAAAACCCCTCTGCCACTGAGGGGCCTTTACCCACTTGCTGTGTGGCTCGCCCCTAAGGGTCAGGCTTATTTGTCCACGGCATCATCTCCTCATTCACTGTCCTGGTATCTGCTGTGCCATCTCCCAGCACCAGCAGTGGCCATTTTTTCCAGGACCCCCTCTCTCCGCCAGCCGCCCTCCCCATGTTCCACTTACGGGGTATTTCTCCAGCGGCTCTGTCAGCAGCCTGTCTCCAAATACGGTGCGGCAGTACTCGGCCATCTTCGCCTGCTGCTTGGGCCTAACGAACAAAGAAAAGCAGGAGTGAACAGGAAAACAGATACCCAAATCCAAACTTTTGCACGAGCCACGTACTCTGCCCAGAAAACCATCTCTTGCCTTCACTCAGCTACACAGACTTTGAAGTCCCTTGTTCCAACTCCGCCATCCTGAGCTAAGAGGTGCAGGGTTGTGGTCACTCCCCTGCAGCTCACCTTCCACCCTGGCCCACCCCCACTTGCCTCAGACGTCTCCCTTCAGCGCAGGCCCTCAGGGCAAACAGAGCCCCAGCCCGGTACCGGCTGCTGGAGGCAGGAGAACACCGTTCTCCCACTGCAGGTCACCAGATACTCACGAGTCCACGTGGTTCTCGAAGGACAGGATGACGGGGTAGAGGGAGGTTTTAAAAGCACTTTCTGCGATGGCCTCAATGGCATCCTAAAGGAGAAGCAGTGGTCAGCGCTCGTTCACAAGAGCCATGGAACCGACCCCACCGAATGGGCCCAGCTTCCAGATCTCCAGTGATCGCTGCCCGGGGATTCTCCTCAGTCACTCGCCTTCTCCCAGTAGGAAGGTGAGAAGTGTCGTCTTTTCCACACTCGCCCAGACTCCCCGCTCCAGAGGATACAGCACACAGCTAAACTCACTAGCTTGTGTAAAACCCCCAAAGCTGATGATGTAAGAATGAGTTTTTATTTCTCCTACAGTTCAGCGTATCCATGTGGGAATAGAATCATAGAATGGTTT